GAATAAAATATAAATACTTCACTTGGGTGATTAATATATAAATAACATTAACAAAACATTGTCTTGATAAATGTAGTTCTATAAATTGTCAATCTGAGTAAAAGACTAGTCTCTAAAGTATAGCATTTTTTCACTACTAATGAGAGAAAATTCAAACTTTCTGTGAAGAAAAAGAAAAAATTGCCATAGCAATTTTTTAATTTTACTAAATATTGTTCCTTTAAATTTCAGTATATAGCCCATATTTGCTGACTTTTAAAAATGTTTCTCTAAAGAATACTCTAATACTTTAAAAAAAGTTTTACTAATAAAATTCTGCTTTTGATGATATTCATTGATCTATTATTAAATTTGGCTATAATGTGACTAATAATTTCAAACTGCTTTCTCTGAATATTAAAAAGAAAAAATACCTTCTACAGAGTTAGGACCTCGATGATTAAAACATTGCTATGCTTAAAGGAGTATTTGGAAAATAGGAGGATGTGTCTGAATGACTACCAATAAGATGATCTGAATCTCATTTCATTAAACTGCTAAGTAGGGCTACAATCAAGATATTGCGGCATTAAACCAGATGTGTGGAATCGTAAGAGGTAACATACAAAATTCATGGTTCCCAGAAAAGATTAAACCTATACTATTCTGTCTTTCCTTCAAATAAAGTATTTGGGAGAATAGTTACTTTAACTTTACTAACCAAGGCCCTTTTGCTTTTTTGATATTAGAAGTCAAGCATTTTACTTGTTTGTTCGATTTGTTTTAAAGAAACAAAAAGAATACAAACATAGGCTAAACTATACAAGAGCATCACATCTTTCAATTGTTTTCCATCTCACCCCTGGACCCTTCTGTAAAAATTACCCGCAAAAGCCCTCCTAATGGTTGGTGGCAGCTTCTTCTCCCTGCTATGTTTATCATCAGTTTGCCACAGGGCACGGTTGAAAGCACTGAGAAAAGCATTGCTGCCCCATTTTGAAGAATGTGTTCAATCCTGGTAGATACCACATGAGATTACGGAGACGCCTCCATTTTTACTAACCTCTGTAAGAAAGTTAGGAGATCTGTTCTTTCTCTAAATCAACAGCAATAAAAGAGGGCGAGTCCTTCCCTTCATATATTATAGGCTACAGAGCATGACACTGTATTATGGTGTGACTTTGGCCGAGAGATTAATATAAAAATTTGTAAAAAAAAAAAAAAANTCCTGAAATCTCACTATGGTTTCAATGTGCATTTACATGATAATTAGTGACATTTTTTTTTTCAAGTATCTATTGGCTATTTGTATGCATTCTTTGGAGAAATGTCTATTCAAGTCCTTACGCCTTTTAAAAACTTGGTTAATAGTGTTTTTTTTTTTTTACTGTATTGAAGAACTTTCTCATATAAATTGGACACTAACACTTTATCAGATATACAGTTGGCAAATATTTCCTCCCATTCTGTAGGTTGACTTTTCAGTCGGTTGATTGTTTCCTTTATTGTGCAGAAGCTTTTTAGATTAACGTATTTCCACTTCTTTTAGTTTATGTTGCCTGTGCTTTTGATGTCATATCCATGAAATAATTGCCAAGAAGAATGTCACAAAGCTCTCTCATCTTTTTTTTAGGAGTTTACAGTTTCAGGTTCTATATTTAAGTCTTTAATTCCCTTTGGGTTGATTTTGTATGTGGTATAAGATAAGGGTCCAATTTCATTCTTTTGCATGTAGATATCCAGTTTTCCCAGCACCATTTGTTGAAGAGCCTATTTTTTCCCTATTGTATGCTATTGGCACTACTGTCAAAGAGCCGTTGACAATGTATACATGAATTTACTTCTGGGCTCTGTATTCTTCTTCATTGGTCTATATGTCTGTCTTTATGTCAGAACCATACTATTCAACTACTGTAGCTTTGTAATATATCTTGAAATACAGAAGTGTGAACAATATAAATATAAATTTCTCAGTAAAAATACCATCTAATTTCATCTCAAAAATAAAATGTTATTTTTTCATATATCACAAATACATACTGCACTATGACAAACAAGCTTTGTGAATTAAAGTCCAAAATAAACATTGCTATTAAGTGCTTTAAAAAAGTCTTTAGTGCTAAAATACATATATTTTTAAATTATAATAAAACATTGATGTAGAATAAAATATAAATACTTCACTTGGGTGATTAATATATAAATAACATTAACAAAACATTGTCTTGATAAATGTAGTTCTATAAATTGTCAATCTGAGTAAAAGACTAGTCTCTAAAGTACAGCATTTTTTCACTACNAAAAAAAAAAAAAAACCAATAAAATATCTTCTGAAATAACTAGTTCATCAATCACTGCACATTTTTTTAATATTGCATGGGATAATAACAGCTTACTTTCTAAGAGAAATTTTTGAAGCTGTTAATATACCAAAGAGAGTATATGTAGGGAGCCCATTAAGTTAAGTTTGTTATCATCTACAGAACCAGTCTCCAATATCAGCAGTTTCAAGTAGAAAAGGCTTATAGAAACATAGAAAAAGAACAAAAATAAAGCAGAAGATAATAAAATATGTTCCCTGGAAAGTAATTGAGTTCCGCATGCAATAGTCACCAGCAAAAGTCCATATATTTGTTATCCAGTAGCTGATATTGGCTGATGCTAAACTGTGTTAAGACACACATACAAATGAATAAATGTTTTGGCCAGTCCAAAGCCCTGGACACTGGCTAAAGGAGCATCAGAGGTAGAAAAGAACATTTCTGTGCAATACTGTGTTCCATGTTACATGTCTTATTTTAGTCTATGTCATACAATCTGTATTATTTTATTACTATTAATATCGCATCTGTATAATGCTGTATTGTCGACTTATTTTTGCAGCTGAAGAAATTTTCTTCTGAGAGAGGATATGTTGTACTATAAAAAACTATATATTAAGTAGAGAATGATCTGTACATAAAGTCTTTCCTATTTTTTTTCAGCTTAGAGAATGCTAGTGACAAAAGCAAGATATACTGATTTCTATTAGTAGTCATTATTAGATAATTGTCACTTCATTCTGCTTTTTGTTTTCAATATGATAGATCCTGATTTTGATTCTTTTGGATAAATATCCACAAATGGTATTGCTGGATCACATGCTAATTCTATTTTTAATTTATTAAGGAACCTCCATACTGTTTTCCACAGAAGCCATGCCATTTTGCATTCCCATGACAGTGTGTAAGGGTGCCAATTTCTCCACATTCTGGACAACACTTGTGTTTTTTTGTCTTTTTGTTTTTTGATAAAAGCCATCCTGAAATCTCACTATGGTTTCAATGTGCATTTACATGATAATTAGTGACATTTTTTTTTCAAGTATCTGTTGGCTATTTGTATGCATTCTTTGGAGAAATGTCTATTCAAGTCCTTACGCCTTTTAAAAACTTGGTTAATAGTGTTTTTTTTTTTTACTGTATTGAAGAACTTTCTCATATAAATTGGACACTAACACTTTATCAGATATACAGTTGGCAAATATTTCCTCCCATTCTGTAGGTTGACTTTTCAGTCGGTTGATTGTTTCCTTTATTGTGCAGAAGCTTTTTAGATTAACGTATTTCCACTTCTTT